ACATATGTAGGCCACAGCAGACCCAAGGTATGTATTTATACAATTATATGAATTTCTCTCATATTTATTTGATCTATCAATTTAGTTAAACTCTTTTGTGGCAAACTTGACAGTCTCTGTGACTTACCATTAGATTTTCTACAGCCAACACACCCATGTTTGGAGATCAACAATTATTTTCAAGTCCAAAATAGTAAGCAGAATTTAGATTGACTTAATGCGCTTTCTTGCCTCCAACTGCCTCTACACCGGTAATTAGTTGATTCTATTTTTCTCATCTAAATATTAAGTGGTTTTAAAGGATTTGATACTGTCTTCTCACCAAAGTGCTTCTTAATTCATATTATGGTTCTTATTTGTTTATCCAAATGTCATTACTATGTTTTTTCTGTATCACACAACCTTTTGAACGATGTTGCAGGGCTCTTATATACTGCTTCTCTGAAGCTAAGCCCTAGTGCTCAGCATCTGACTTAATGGAGCTTATGTGAATTGGATATACGTGAGTTGGTGTAGTCGGCTTATTGTTCAACTCTTGCAGCCATTCAACCTATACACAGGCCATAACAGACCTAAGGTATGAATTTCTCTCATATTTTATCTATTGATTTTGTTAAAAACTTCCATGGCTAACTTGAGCGTCTTAAGTTCCCTGCTAGAGCACACTTCTACAGCCCTTCACCATCTTTCCTCCTGCCTTTGGATTGTGCTTTCTTCTGTACCAGCTGCCTCTACCTTCCTATTCTACCCTGATAAATTTTCAAGATTTTAGTGTTTTTAGATTTTACTTTTAACAAATTCCATATGATATCTATCTCTCTTAATTGGATGCTAATTCCTTTATAATTGCCAATCACAGTGATTCATGTGTGATCATGTGAAAGTGAAAGGAACAGCAAGTACTCACTCATTGCCTGTACGTACCAACATTCCATCACATCTTTTTCTAATTAAAGAATTTTGTGTAATTATTAGATGTTCAAGAATGAAGAATTTGTTTCCCTTTGAAAAGCTGTGGGATCTTCACGTTCATGATTGCAAAGGGTAATAGCATAGAAAAATGAGGAAGAAAATCAGACAATGGATGGAAGAGCTACACTCACTCTTCCAAAGTTAACCTTCTTTGGGACTTACATGACAAAACAGAATTGAAGAGAATCCGCTTGAGTAATGGTTTGTTATTCTCTTAATTTTCACATTCTAAATTAACTTTTTAAACTTAATAACTTATTTAAACTGTACCAATCCTGTTTTGTCAAGATTTTAATATGGTAAGACATGTCTTAACTCTTCTCATGATTCAGTTTTTCTTTTTTTCTTTTGGGCCTCAACTCTGATTCAGCGTTACTGATTCAAATCTCACTAAAGTTTTGGCACTAGCTGCAGCACTCTAAATTTGTGCAATTTACTTCTTTTTAGTAAAATAAAGTGATCCATCCATTGCTCTCATGGTCCCAATAAATTGTTAATTAATTGCTTGCACTTTTCCATCCAAGATTAAGTGGTTTTAGATTCTATTTTAGAGGATTTAATATTGTCTTTTCTCCAATGTGGTCATTAATGGATGTCATGGCTGTTATTTGTTTACTTGATCATTGGCACCATGTTTTATCCATGTTGGCTGAGGGACTCTCTAACCTTATGGCAGCAAGTTTGCTTGAAGAATTGGCCACTGGGGATTTCTTTGTACAAGGATGAGATTAATGGAGGTTATATGAATGTATATGTAAGTTGGTATAAAAATTAGCCTTTTTATTTTTCTGGTGCTTTGGGTATGGTCTAATTGGATAACTGTCCTTTTGCTGTTGAAGGACCTGCTGGTTCCTCACTAGGGTACAATGCGGCTGTGCTGTGGAATTGGATCCTCTGGATCCTCTTAGAGTTGGCACAATGGAATTAGCCTTTGTTTCAATAAATATGATTGAAATAGAGGTTTGCTATCATTTTCACCTACTTTGATATTTCCATTTGTACAATTCAACCATCTGTTCAAATGAAATCCGGGACATTTGAATTGTTTGATAGTTTGATATATAGCTGAATTCAACTTTCTCTTCAGAAGCCAATAATCTGCTTTTTGTGGAATCCCTGGTTAGAGTTGTGTTTTGAACCAATATGCCTTCTGCTGTCACCAAGTTTGTGGGTTTATTTGACGAGAGAAAGTTTCTCTTGGACTTAGCCGACAGTGCCCATATTTTCCTATTGAACTGGCTTCAGAGATATCCACCAATCAAAACCCAAGATTTCTTCATGTAAGGAGGGAGTTTCGCAAACAGTAAGTTTTGGGGTTCTCTTTCATACTTGCACATATAGTTATGTAAATGCTCTGTAAATCATTCCTTATTATTGCAGGCCACCATGTACCATGGCTTGTGGAGCAGGGTTTGTCTATGATCAACACAAGGACATACAAATATACTTAATTATCTCAAAGGTTTTATGGTAAGAATAATCCCCCATGTTTATGCTTTACTGGATTGGGGGCTAAAATTGATCAGCACCATTAGGCTGCACGTACTTATCTTATACATCTCAAGCATACATGAACATAATGTACTAAGATGATATCCATGTTGCAGGTAGGCAATCCAGAAGCCGATTATTATGATGATTATAATAATAGTGCGTTGCCAAGATATGCTTGGACCTGTTATGTGAGACCAAACCAGCTCTACTTGAAATCCACACAAGTGTAGTCTTCAAAGTCTCCATACTAATTTGCCTGACCTTGATGAGTGCAACAATTTCATGAACAAAGTCTTTGAAGAATATACAGAGAGAGACATCATCAACGATGTCTCTTGGATCCATGGTAACTAGATGGCTGGTTTTAGCATGTTCCTTGAGAATTGTAGCATTGATCTTGCTGAACTTTGGACCTATGCGTTGCTCTCCTTCTGGCTTTAGAACTTGACATTAGCAACACCAGCCACCACCCTCATAAGAACATCATCAAGAAAATCACTAGCGCTACCAATACCAGGAGGTGGAGCCCGACAGCTAGACACCTGATTGGATGGCTAAAAATAGTCTGGAAATCGTCATCTTGTGTTTGAAATCCCTTCCAAGGGTATTTTGGCTTATCATTCTGGCTGATGCTGATAGTATTGCATCCCTAGAATTACTAAATAAGTCATACCCTTTTGAGTCTTGAAGCATATATATCATGTAAGGCTTAGCACATCAGCACCCTGTCAATTTTCAGAACATTGAAATTCAGAGTTCAATTTCGGATAATCAATATGTGTGATTTAATTTGATTCAGCAAGCAGATTGGCGTCATTTTTACCATCAAAATTTCTTAACTTTGCCTCATTTTGCCACGTCTTCTACAACTTTAGTTGAGGATAAGGATAATCCATTACGCCGGCATCTTCATTCCACCCATTTCCAGATATGCACAAGGATATCTTTGCTCCCCAGAATAATTTTTACATTTACAGAAACAGAGTAGTACGAACGAAAACAAGAACACGTACAGGTGTAAACAATTTCCTTTCATATATATTTACAATTTCTGTTAGAGTTGTGGTGTCAAAGCTGCAATACAGTGGCGGTAAAGTGACAGCCACATGGAGCTGCACAAAATGGCAGCAAATCTTTTAAATATAATATTACTTTAAATGTTTGATAGATTTTCTTGTATCAGGTAAATATTAGGTGAGAAAAGTATTGTTTTATATTGTATTGTTTTTGCTATTTATAGCAGAATATTAATGGAAGAAAATGAGTTTTCACCTCACCAAAAGAGGGAACTCCGGTTGTCTCCTTCTCCGGGTGTTTTGCATTCTAGATGAAAGACAATAGAAAAACTAAAAGCATCTTGCAATACAAGTTTCTATCATTTGGAGACAAAACTAAAAATAGATATCCTGAGTTTAACCTTTCACTTACTTCTCTTTTGAATTCAGCCAAAGCAGCACCCGAGAAGTCCTGGTCTAGGAACTTCTTAACAGCAACCTCCTGTGGTTCAAAACCCATTACCAGCCAGGAAGTTCGAAACTCCATTTTTCATTTCATATCTTATTGATTCAAAATTGGTACAAGTAGAGAAATCGTGTCTTAAAAACACAGCTCTTTTACAAGCTACTTGATACAAAGAAATAAAGGTATT